AATACCAAATCTGGAGGAAAAAATACTGCATATTGAGGAGGATGCAAGAAGAATTTGTGAGCGAGCTGTCAAAGCCCAAGGTGAAGTTGAAACCTTGAAGCAAGCAATTGCCAAGTTAAATGAAGAGAAGGAAGCTGCTGCTCTCCAGTACCAGCAGTGCTTGGAAACCATATCTGCTCTAGAGCATAAGATAGCTAGTGCCCAAGAGGAGGCCCAACGGCTACACTCTGAAATAGCTGATGGGATTGCAAAGTTAAAGGGTTCTGAAGAAACGTGTATTCTGCTGGCACAATCTAATCAGACTCTCCAGTCTGAGTTGGAGTCTTTGGTGCAGAAAATGGAATCTCAGGGTGAAGAACTTACAGAGAAGCAGAAGGAGTTGGGCAGACTCTGGACTTGCATACAAGAAGAGCGTTTGCGATTCATGGAGGCGGAAACTGCTTTCCAGACACTGCAGCATTTGCATTCTCAATCCCAGGAGGAACTTAGATCTATGTATTCTGAGCTTCAGAATGGAGCTTTGATTATGAAGGACATGGAAACACGCAATCTAGTTTTGAAGGACGAAGTCCAGAAGGCGAAGGAGGAAAACAAGAGCCTGAGTGAGCTCAATCTGTCTTCATCCATGTCAATAAAAAATCTGCAAGATGAAATCTTAATCTTGAGGGAGACAATTAGGAAACTCGAAGAGGAAGTTGGACTTAGAGTAGACCAAAGAAACGCTCTCCAGCAAGAGATTTATTGCCTGAAAGAGGAACTCAATGATCTGAACAAGAAACACCAAGCTATGCTAGAGCAGGTCGAGTCAGTCGGCTTGGGTCCAGAGTGCCTCGCGTCATCTGTGAAAGAACTGCGGGATGAAAAATCACAGCTAGAACAGATGTGTGAGGCTGAGAGAAGTGAGAAAGCGGCACTGCTAGAAAAGTTGGAAATCATGCAGAAACTTATGGAGAAAAATGTTCTTTTGGAGAATATCATTTCTGATTTGAACGTTGAGTTAGAAGGGGTTAGAGGGAAGGTAAGGGAGTTAGAAGAATCATGTCAATCTCATCTGGAAGAAAAAGGCACAATTGCTGCTGAAAATGCCGCCCTGCTTTCTCAGTTACAGATTATGACTGAGAATTTGAAGAAATCTTCCGAGAATAACAACCTTTTGGAGAATTCCCTTTGCGATGCAAATGCTGAACTTGAAGGCTTGAGGGTAAAATCAAAGAGCTTAGAAGAGTGCTGTTTATTGCTTAATAACGAGAGGTCTGGTCTGATCACGGAGAGAGAAAATGTAGTTTCTGAGTTGGATGCTACTCGGCAAAGACTGGAAGGTCTGGAAAAAGGATATGTAGAAACAGAAGAGAAACTCTCTTCTCTGGAGAAGGAAAGAGAATTTGCACTTTGTAAAGTGGAAGAGCTACATGTTTTCTTAGATTCTGAGAAGCAAAAGCATGCTAGTTTTGTTCAGTTAAGTGAAACCCAGATGGCCGGTATGGGATTGCAGATCTCTCATCTCCAAGCAGAAGGCATGTGCAGGAAGAAAGAATATGAAGTGGAACAAGACAAAGCTGTGAACGTGCAGATTGAAATCTTTGTCTTGCAGAAATGCATAGAAGATCTGGAAGAAAAGATCTTGTCCCTCATGGTTGAGCGTCAAAAGCTGTTGGAGGCATCCAAAATGTCAGAGAAGCGGATTTCTGACCTAGAGCATGGAAATCTTGAGCAGCAGATGGAGATTAAATCCTTTCTTTTGCAAACGAAAGTACTGAGAATGGGGCTGTATCAGGTGTTGAAGACTGTTGACATGGATGCAAACCTCGATTGTGCAGGAGAGGTTGAGAAAGACCAAACACTTTTTAACCACATTCTTGTCAAACTTCAAGAGACGCAAAAATCTCTGTCTGAAACTTGTGATCAAAATCAACAGTTGGTTATTGAGAAGTCAGTTCTCATAGAAATGATTGACCAACTAAAACTAGAGGCGGCAAATCTTATGAGAGAAAGAAACACCCTGGACCGAGAGTTCAAGAACCAGTCTGAGAAGCTTGTGTTGTTGCAGAGTGGGGCCCAAAGACTTGAGGAGAAGAATGAAGAATTGAAGTTGAAAGTAGTGGAAGGCGACCGCAGAGAGGAAGTATTGAGGACTGAAATAGATGATCTGCACGAGCAGTTCTTGGACTTGCAAAGTGCACACAACAATCTATTGGAAGAGAATGGCAAGATGCTTGTAGAGAAAGGAGCTTTGACAAGGATGGTATCGAATTTGTGGGAAGAGAATCGTGGCCTCGAAGAGGAGAAGTCTGTCATGTTTGGTGAAACGATATATCACAATAACTTTTCACTTGTTCTGAAAGATTTTATTTCCAGAAAGCTGCTGGAACTGGAAGAGCTCACTGACTATTTAGATAAACTTCATCTTGGAAAGAATGACCTGGAAGATAAGGTAAGAATATTGGAGGGGAAGTTGGAAGTTACATGGATGGACAACATACAGCTCAAGGAGTCATTAAATAAGTCCGAGAATGAGCTGGAGCTAGTTAAATACGTCAATGATCAATTGAATGGTGAAATTGCAAATGCAAAGGATGCAGTGTCTCATAAGGAAAATGAGCTTTTGGAAGTACATCAGGCCGTCAATGCGCTACAAAATGAGAAGCAAGAATTGCATGCGTTAGTGGAGGATCTGAGTGGTAAGTATGATGAGGCTAAGGTGGTACGAGAACATCAAGAGAAGCAGATTTTCAAACTCTCTGCAGACAATGAACATCAAACCAAAGAGACTTGGAGCCTTCGCGAAGTGAATCAGGAGTTGGAGTCTGAACTGCGGAAGATGCATGGAGAAGCTGAAAAAACCAAAACTAAAGAGGAAAGTTTGATCAATGAACTGCAAAAGGAAAGGCAAGAGATAGAAATGTGGTTGTTTCAGGCTGTCACATTCTTTGGCGAACTACAGACCTCCACCATTCGTGAAACATTGTTTGAAGGAAAAGTCCGTGAGCTGATTGAAGCTTGTCAGATACTCGAAGACAGAAGCAATTCCAATGGCATAGAGAACAAAATCATGAAAGAAAGAGTCAGGGCATTGGAAGACAAAAATGGAGGGCTACAAGCTCAGTTGGCTGCATATATTCCAGCTGTCATGTCTTTGAAGGAGTGCATAACATCACTTGAGAAGCGTATGCTTGCCAACACCGGATCTCATAAACTTGACAATGAAGAATCAGAGGTAAGATTCATGTCTGTTTATATGTTCCCTCTGGCAGTTAAAAGTTTTAATTATCACAAGCCGTTATTTGAATTCATGCTTTATCATCAAAGTTCATGGTTTATCTCTGGCAAAATTTTCAGAAAGTAAGCCGGTTTCTGTCTAAAGCTTATTTGGTGGTTGGACATGGATTGTTCAGCTTAAGACGTAGTGACTTTGTTTTCTAGTTCAATGGTGTGATTTCGGATATCATTTGAAATTAACATATTTGTATTCTTATATCCAGGATGCCTTTCTGCACGCTGAAAGATCTCAAACGGATGGAGATCAAATGGCCACGGTATCAGATGGTGTTTTGGACTTGCAGAATTTACAAAGAAGGATTGAAGCTATTGAAAAGGCAGTGGTGGAGAAAGAAAGTCATGTTTCCACAAATCGGGTTCGGAAGAAGCGTGAAATAGCTGGATCAGGGAATGAAGTTCTGACAAAAGACATCGTTCTTGATCACATATCGGAGTGTTCATCCTATGAGGTAAGCAGGAGAGAAACCACAGAGCCTGATGCTCAGATGCTTGAGTTGTGGGAGACCGCTGACCAGGATGGTAGCATTGATTTGATGGTTGGCAAATCCCAGGAGGGGGCCGTGGTACCTACTGACCACGGTCAGATGGAGGCAGTGAAGGAGCACAAGAAAAAACACCCCTCTTCTGAGTCATTGGTTGAGAAGGAATTGGGCATTGACAAATTAGAGCTCTCTAGGAGATTTACCCAGCCCCGTCAAGAAGGGAACAAGAGAAGGATCCTAGAAAGACTTGACTCCGATGTGCAGAAGTTGACAAACCTTCAGATAACCGTGGAAGACCTTAAGACAAAGGTGGAGATTACTGAACAGAGCAAAAATGGCAAAGATATGGAACTTGATAGCGTAAAGGGGCAGCTGGAAGAAGCTGAAGAGGCCATTACAAAGTTGTTTGACGCCAATCAAAAGTTGATGAAGAGTGTTGAAGATGCTCCTCCTCCGTCCTCGGAGGGAGCTTCTGGGGAAGTACCAGATGAAAGTGGGAGCGTGAGAAGGAGGAGACTTTCGGAACAAGCAAAAAGAGGGTCGGAAAAAATTGGGCGGTTGCAGTTGCAGGTGCAGAAACTGCAGTTTCTTCTTCTGCAAATCGATGGCAAAACTGACAGCAAAGGATCAGCTAGAATATTCGAGCAGAAGAAAAGCGTTCTTCTACGTGACTACCTCTATGGCGTGAGAAAGCCTGTCAACCAAGGGAAACGGAAGAAAGCGCCCTTCTGTGCATGCATACAGCCCCCAACCAGGGGAGATTGAAGCCAAGAAATTTCATTAGTTTCCAGTAAAATGACGAGGCACTAGTTTTGCCTCATTGTCCATAAGTTTTTTTTAACCTTTTGCCATATTTTAGAGAGAGAGAGGAAGAGTTTTGGGTCTTGAATTAGTTCTGAGATCCTGCTGTATATTTCAGGCCCCATCTTCTATTCAAAGGAAACCCACTCTGATGGGGTTTGCTTTCTTTCATGTTTTTTCCTCCTGTTGGTTCGGTGTTTACATTCTTTCTGCATTACAAGTTCTCGTACAGGTTTTTTCGTTCTCCGGAATCCGGGGAGATCCTTACGTGTAAGCGGGAGTATATCACCCTCACCTTGCAGCACTCGTCACATATGTTGTAGCACTACAGAGTGAGGGGATATACCGCCGGTTACACCCAAGTTTTTCTCCACGGCTCGACATGTTACTTTCGGTCTGTAGTCCAAAACCCTAATACATGCACAAGGAAAAAGGGCAAAGTGACAGCATAAACAGTTTTTCCTTGACATTTGCCAAAAACCAATTGCACTGAAGACAAGGCAAAATGCGTACAGATTCTTCAAGCTTTACAAGCTTCAACGTCTCCTCAAACAGTATCTGTAGGGCGCCCTGTGCAAGGAGGCTCCGAGCTTTCAACTCGTCTAAACCAGATGAGCAGAGCCGCAGAACAAAATTCACTTTGGTGCACCGGTCTGCTTGCCACGCTCCCAGTTTTTGATTAAGTTATCCCTCATGGTCCTCCCCAATGGATCAACTTGCTTGCAGCATTGTTCTCCGTATCCTGAGTCATGATGACCAGATAAAGCAACATCTGGGTCCAATATATCTCCACTGTCGACGATTATATTGTGAAGCAAACAACATACCAAGATAATGCTTGGAAGTTTTCGCTTGTCAGGTCTCCACATAACCTTGCTGAGGATTCTCCAAGTGCCCTTCAACTGCGAGAATGCCCTTACTGCAAGCGACCTTGCAGCCTCATGTGTGGCATTAAAAGAAGAAATGGAAGCTGTGCCGGCATTGCTTTCAAAAGGAGTTATGAGCCAGGGAAGCAAAGGATAGCCAACCCCACCAACTAAGTATTCTCTAATCTCTACTCCTCCGGATAAACTTCTAGCATTTCCATTCAAACGCTGTCCGCCTTCACAGAGCTTGTAAAACCCCGAACACTTTAACAGTCTAGACACAGTCATGCCCCCGGGCCAACCAGTCACAATGTCGAGAAATCTCATCTCGTGGTCGACAATTCCCTGCAAGAGCATGCTGTAGTTCTCCTCCGGATCACACCAATCGTCTGATGTTTGAACAGTTGGAAGGGTCATAATGATGTGTGTACCATCTATGGCTCCACAGCAATTCGGCAATCCAAAGGATGCTTCAAATTCAGACTTAATCTCTTCTATTCTATTCAAATCGGGCCACTTGAGGTGGTGCTTCGCGCGCTCTTCCAATGCTTCAATGAATCTCCAAGTGACCTGAGAAACTGTGGACTGGCCAACCCCAAAGGCAGCTCCCACTGAGACTTGAGACTCCCCGGATGCCAACCTTCTCATGGCAATAGCAACCTGTTTCTCAACACTGAGAAGCCTGCCTTCTATGTTGATGAGTCCTGATGGCGGCCTCGACACAAGGTCTTCTCTTACAAGTGAACATATGTAGTCGAAAGTCTTTTTCGAAACCCTAAAGAAAAACTTAAATCCTTCCTCCTCATCATTGGATACTGAAGAACCTACACACGTTTGAATTAATCAGAAGTGCAGAACAAAGTTTATCATGGAAACTCTCTAAAGTGAAATCAACTTTTAAAAATCTCTACTAAAATAGAAATCAACAATTTCCCTACTGCAGATGTCAAACCAAAATCTCTAAATTTATAATTATACCTAATCGATAGCTAGTTTTCTTGTAATGGCCACCAGAAATTACCACAACTACCGTGCATTTTTTAACAAGATATATATTCTAAACTACTCTTATACATGCAGTCGTGGCTAGAGCGCCCTTAAGAATGTTAAATATTTAACCGATAGCTAGTTTTCTTGTAACGACCACCAGAAATTACCACAACCACTTGCATTTGTTTACAAGATATATATTCTAAACTAATCTTACTTACACAGTAGTCGGCTAGAGCGCCTTCAAAAATGTTCAATACCTAATCGATAACTAGTTTTCTTGTAACGGTCACAGAAATTACCACAACCATTTGCATTTTTTACAAGATATATGTTCTAAACTACTCTGATTTATGCAGTTGTGTGCTAGAGCGCCTTAAAATGTTAAATACTTAATTGATAGCTAGTTTTCTTGTCACACCCACCAGATATTTACCACAACCACTTGCATTTTTTGACAAGATGATATATATTCTAAACTACTCTAATTTACGCAGACGTGGGCTAGAGATGCGCTCCCCTCATGCATCCAAGTTCGAATCTCCTTCCACGCAGCTTAGATTAGTTTAAACTAGAATACCTCGCTCGTATGAAAAACCTACTCCAATTTAAGGGGAGGGGAATCTGAACTTCGGTGCAAGGGGGCGGCTAGCCAACTGGCCTAACCCACATCTTCATAACAACATGCATGTTCAGGTGCTGTTCTGAATTCTTACCATTTCAGTGATCAAATTCATGATTCTAGCCAACTTGAAAACCACATTTTACAGGTTTTGAGCTGTAAATCTGAATAAAATTACCGAATTTAATATTCCAGAACAAATTTTAGATAAAACCCACATCAAATTTTTTCGTGGAATGTAACATTTTCCAGTAAAAAAAAAAAGCAGTAAATTAAGAGGGTTACTGAAGAGTCAGCGAGCCGAGTGAAAGGTAAAACCTGCTGGGGTTGAAGAATTCTTCTGCCAGAAACTATCCCACCAATCAGAATCAACTGCTTTCGCCTCCACCGGAACCACGCTCTTGCTTTTCCTCAATTTCCTGTCTTTCTTGCTTTTCTTCGATTTCTTCGGAGGCGCCATGGAAGGTAAAGCTCTGATGATCCCAGAAGAGAAAAAGTGCTTGGATGGAAGGAAAGTGACGGAAAGTTAATAAATTGGAACTGTTTTCTTCATCTCCAACACATGCGTTTCCGACATTTGATGACTGAAAGTCACTGAACCGAGTTCGAGCCGGTAGTCTCGGTCGTCCACATTTGTTTTGCAGGAACAGAACGGAAACGACTGTTGGTCTAACAGGGAGTCCACGACAGCAGGGCCGACTGGATGTGGGCTGGTTTGATTGTGGATGCAATTTGAACATTGACTTGGTCTTGGGTTAAACCAATTTTTTTTTTTTTTTTTTTTTTTTAACAAACGATATTATCTACACTAAAGAATAGGGAGTAGGCTTAACCTCACAAAGGGTTAGCAATAATGTGGTTTAAATTCGCCTTTAGTGAGAATCGAACCTAAGACCTCCACCTTACAAGTGAAGAGAAATATTACTAGGGTATTAAGTGGCAAAACCGGCTCTTGAAATTGGAGAAAACTCGTGATGAAACGGATACATAAAAAATACATGTGTATTATTTTGGAAAGTTTCTTAAAACACTTCCTCACGTAGCATTAAATGCTACGAGCATTAGATAATCTGGATTCACAGAATCATAGTAAAAAAAAAAAATAATTCAATTAATCTAAGTCATCCAATGTTCGTAACATTTAATGTTACGTAGTATGAAAGAATTTTTCAAAAATAAACAAGAAAAAATAAATATATTAAATGTGAAAAGTATATAAGTACCTAAATAACACATGTACAATAACAATACTATGATTTAAGAAAAATATGTAATTTAGGGTCCACTAGATGACCATTTCATTTGTTTATGCGGTTTTTTGTTTACATTCTTTTTAAATTTGTTTATGTGATTTTTTGTTTACGTTCTTTTTAAAATGAAAGCTTGTTTGATAATTGTATTGTTTTTTATATTCATATGAAAAATGAAAACTAAAATTTGAAAACTCGTAAAAGTAGGTGCACTTTTTTTTTTCTTTTTTTTTTTCTTTTCACAAACTCAAAATGGAAAGTATTATAAAAAACAAGAATTTCTTGACCAGTCACTTGAGGGGTTGATTTGATATGTAAGTCGATATAAGCTTGCGTGAAATCATAGTGGCCAGACCTATTTCGACAATAACATATAAGTTGACTACTCCTCATAATTGAGGTTCACAAAAATGAATCTACATAACATTTTGTTTCATCATGAGATATAAAATTTTGTTTCGTCATGAGATATACATTATGCAAATTACATAATGTTGGAAGGAAAAAAATTAACGCTTCCAACTTTCCACTAATTAAGCAAACCAATAGACGTAAAGCAACGAGACTCATTCCTCAATTTTCAATGAGACCTCATCATATTTTACGTGCACGCATGCTGCTTTTTTCTGATACATAAATCCAAATATTGGTACGTACTACATAGGCAAGCCAATTAAGCTAGCTACGCAACTCAGACGTTATTCCATGCGCCGGGTTCTTGATCTTTGATGGGGTTGGGTTTGGTGGTGTGAAGCATGAATTTACATGCTGCAACCGCCTCTGCAACTGTGAGATAAATCCATTGCTGACCTATTTTCTCGATCAACTCCGACTTGTTCATCTTCTTCATCACCTCTCCTCCGGGATTCGCCAATGCAAGCTAATTGCATAAATGAAACAAGGTGTTAGATTTAGTGTTCTTTGTATATTAAAACTATTACTAACACTCCAAAAGTCACGATAAAAGACTATAAACTGTACCTGAAGGCCCCTTCTATCAACTAGCTTCTTGACCTCATCCAACATGCTTATTCCACTTGTGTCTATGTTAGCAACGGCTGCAAAGGAATCAATTTTAGGGTGTTTAGTACCACTAATTGAATAATTTACATTATTTTCTTTAGGTGAATTGATTAATGCATAATAATTGTTTAATAATTTCCCTTACCACTCATATCCAATATCACATATTGTAAGCTACTTTCCCCTGCAGATTTTATTCTATCTTCCTCATCATTAATCCACCTTGTAATCCTGAAAATATGTAGCGGTTTAGGTTAACATCAAGCTTTAAATACCTATTAATTTTTATATAAACATAGTTAATTTTCAGTTGTAATTTTCAAATACCTTTCTCTTAAGTAGTTGGTATTTGCAAAGTAAATGGGAGCATCGATCTCAAGTATCAGAATTCCAGGAATATTGCTTGCACTTTGGTACTGGTCAACATTTCTGTAATCCATGGAATTCGGAAGGTTTCCAAGAATAAAGGTCCTAGGCCTTGCCACAAACAAAAGCACCCTCATCACAGATATTGCAACCTGCATAAATAAGTCAAACCACAGTAATTTGTTGACCTGTTGTTACTGTCATACACACAATAATTTTCATTAGGATACTGTGACTTATATTCATACGTACCGCTAAGACTAGGCCGTTTTGAACGCTGCTAAAAACGACACCAATGTACGCACTCATGCAGACAACGAAATCAAACTTGTCAACCTTCCAGAGGTGGATTGCAGCTTCATAATCTATAAGGCCGAGCATGGCGGCGATTATAATGGCAGACAACACAACAAGGGGAGTGTAGTGGAACAATGGTGTGAGGAACAACAATGTGAACATCATTGCAATTGCCATGATAACGTTTGACATTGCCGTCTTGCATCCTGCATTGTAGTTCACTGCTGATCTGGAAAATGGCCCTGAAAATTATTGAAGAAATTTCATGTGATTAATGAGAGAAGATAATTTTCACATGAAGTTAATTAAAGGGCTCTTCACAAATATTAATCCTCAAAATCACAATTTCATTGTAAAAAACACATCAAACATTAGTATGAATAAAAGAAAAATCACTGGATTCAATTGTTATTGAACTCAACTATTATGGCGTCCGACATTAATAGTTGATAGATGATTCCTTTTTTTTTCCTATGGTATACATGATTCTAGAAGTGTTTCTCCTCAACATTAACAATTGTCAGTAATTAAGTAATTAATATAGGTAATTAGTACCTGTAGTGAGGTAGCAAGAAGTGCAAGAACCAGCAATGTTCATCATCCCAATGGCAATCATCTCTTTATTCCCATCAATGTGGTAATTCTTGAACATGGAAAAGCTTCTCCCAACTGCTATTCCTTCCTGCACATAATTATCAACAAATTCCACAATCAATTTATTAATTATTTTAAGCTATTAATTATGGTTATCAGTCGTGTTAATCAATAATTAGTAGAGTAATTAAGGTTTTAATTTAGATATATATACTTACAGCAAGAGCTATGATGCCCGTAATGACGCCAGTTTTAAAAGCTGTTGTGAGATAAGGAGACACAAACACAAGGTCTCCAAACGACAATGGATTAATCCCCTTCTTCAGATTTCCTATCTGAATATATTCACCATAAAATACAGGCATTAATTAGAAACCTTTTGTCATTGGGTAAGTAACAAAAAGCAAACAAGAAGGAATTTTCATTTTAATTTTAAATTCAAAAGAAATGAAAAGGAAACGTGTTGAATCTGTTGACCATGACCTAGCAACCAGAACTATCACATAATGCTATGGGAGGTAAGGCAAAGTTGGGGGTCCCCCCAGTCACTACACAGTGCTATTATTTGTGGGGACTCAAATAATGTAGACGACAGAGTGTTCGAACAATCATTTTTCGGTTTTGGCCCAAGATTAATTTGTGAAAGGCTTATAGCACATGGGGAGGTAGACCTACTTTGTCTCTGTTTATGGTGGTCCAAATTGTTCCTAATGTCTTTCTCCACACTAAGCCACTCTAGTTGGTGATCACGGACTCCACACAGTGTGTACTGTATGTATTCTAGTGTCTGTACCTTTCGTTACACGATGTCAAACATAAATATACGTACGAGTGTATACACCTAACATCATGATATAATCTCTCGCATGAGAGATAGATGGTTTGCCATGTATGCCCTCATGTGCATGTGATTTAATGGTGTGAGATGTAGACACACAAGTATATATACTCGATGACATAAAAGAATCTCTCGCGCAAGAGAAGAAAAATGTATATGGGACGATCTCATGAGCTCTTTATGTTTCTGATCGTTTTCAAGAGAGATAGACATATAAAAGCTATAGGCCATCCTATGAAGTTTTTTCTTATAAGGAGAGATTGGGGTTATGCATGTGTTCCCTTTAGTTTGATGTGTAAGCTCACCACTTGAACGCCATGTTTCTCAGCATGGGTGAGATAAACCAGAACACTTCCCAAAATCACTGACGTCAAAGGTGCCATGGCTGATATCCAAAAGAACTTAGGTTTCTTCTTGCTCTGCATTATCATGTTGTCCAACATATAAAGACAAATAAACTGTATGAGCCACATTAGCATTAATTTAAAATTCACTTTCTTCATGCTTACAAGTTACAACGTAAACAAAACTAGAGCAATAATTTTAAGGACAAGGCCAGAGAAAGCGTCAAGACAATGGTTAATAATTATATTATGTTAAAAGTTCCCTTTTCATGGATTAATTAAATTTTCTAATTATTTACTAAATGCTAGTATTACTTGAACAAGGTGGATGCAGATGCAGCTCGGGGTCAATCGTCTTTGAAAGGTTTTGTTACTTAATGTTGAAAGTGGGAGTAGGTTAGGGTTGAAAATGAAAGGAGAATTTTGATGAAGAAAAAAAAAATATATATATATATATAAAAGTTGATTCCAAACCATGGAAAATAGAGGCTTGGAAAAATGAGATGCTAAGCAGTTCAAGAAACTTTCTGATTAGGACATATGATCCCATCCAGTGATAGTTTTCTGTAAATTACTTATAAATTACTTCAGTAATGGCCCTATTAATCCAATCGAATTATACCATATTTTTCTGCTTTCAATTTCATGATATTTTAATTTTTGGGCCAACAGCATATACTTGCGTGACAGAAGAGATTTTAATTTTAAATCAAGATTAATTAAAACATGGCAGATACAAAGAATAAGTATCTGAAATTAATAAACAAGAAATTTAAGATACGGCTGGTTCGATTCACTTACGAAGTATTTGGTGGTGAGGAGGAAGAAAAGAAATAAACAACCCAAAACTCCGCTTTCCCATCTCCACTGCAACAACCATCAATCATTGAGATAGAAATAGAATTATATATGCAAACGAAAACCAAAGATGCAAACTTTCTAGCTCAAATTCTTCTATGCCAATTGTTATTTCAACACATCATATGCCTTTTGAAATAAAAACACTT